ATATAACTTTCCCTGGGATTTAATGAACTTATTTGTATTTTAAATGTTTGAAAATGCAATGAAACCTTTCAATTTTCCCTGAACTGGACCTCATATACAATTGATTGTTTAAAAATTATTTAGATTTATTGAACCATGGAGTTTATGATCTCTAAGGTTCATTTTAGATCTCAAAGTCTGACTATGGCCTACAAGAGAAAAAGAAGTAGAATCACTTAATGGAGGGATGACTAAACTGGTGTACTTATTATAAATGAGACTAAAATTGATTGCTAAAAAAGAATATTTTCCTTTCATTTTTATAAGATTCTAAAATATTTTGTTCTAAATTTATAAATGGTGTTGTTATGTGCTGTCAAGTTGGACCCGATTCATAACAACCCCTCCTTGGGCAGTATTACTACGGAAGTAGATTGCTCCATCTTCCTTCTGAGGAGTGGCTGGTGGGTTTGAACGGCCAGCCTTCTGGTTAGCAGTCCAGTGCCTTAGGCACTACGCTAACCAGAGCTCCCCCTTTATAAATGTTACATAGATATATATACAACCTTGTTGATCAAAATAAGCAGAAATGATATTACAGCAAGGGGTTAGCCATATCAAAAGTGCTTGTACACAACAAACCCAAATTACATTCAAAAATAATAAAAAGGTATAGCAATAAATAGATAATAGTGTAAAATATTTGAATAAATAAAAATAAATAGAGAAAATTACCTTCACATAATAACCAAACACCAAATAAACAAATAAAAGATGAAATTCATAGGGCCAGCAGTGTTGTTGTTATGTGCTGTTGAGTCGGACCCACTCATAGTGACCCCTCCTTGGGTTTCCAAGGTAGTATCACTACAGAAGTAGATTGTTATTTCTTCAAAATAATGTCAAATTAGACAAAGGTCCACACTGACAAGAATCTTCAAAGACAGTGGCCTGGACAAAATTTGTCAAGGCTTTTCAGTCTCAAGCAAAGCAGTCAAGAAAAAAGGCAAAAAAGTTTAGAGATGAGGATGGCAATTATTTTGGACCTTCAGAATTTGTATAACAAAGTGACAGAGCTAATAGAACTGGAGCTTTGACTATATTGAAAGTACCAGATTAAATACATCTTCCTCTGGGAAGGTAAAAAGAAACAACTTCAAGACCTAAACAATTTGTAAGTATCTACTGACTATATTTCTTCATTCAGTAAACATG